AATAAGTTGAGCCACTAACTGAATGAACTTGGTTTGCGTAACTTAACTAAGCCACAGTCAGTTGATTGTGTTTAATGTCTGGATGTCATTTCCTGTGTACTTTAGTTAAGCATGTGTAGACATAGCTATATTTGGGGGCTTTTAATTGTCCATTAAATCATTCCATTTAAATCAATCAATAAAAACATTGATTTCTCAGTTACTGAGAAAAGAGGAAATTCAAGTAAATTTTCCCTGCCTCTTAGCCTGCCTTCTAAGAGCAGGGGTCTTCAAACTTAGCTCTTTTAGGACTTGTGGACTTCAACTCCCAGAATTCCTCAGCCAGGCATGCTGGCTGAGGAATTCTGGAAGCTGAAGTCCACAAGTCATAAAAGGGCCAAGTTTGAAGACCCCTGTTCTAGGGTGTAAATCTTCATACTTTATAAGAAGGCAGCCCTACCATGTGACCTTTCCATTGTAATATTTTATATAATTCAGCCATAAATTACAGTAATTGGGATGTCCGGGTTCTGAAATACTAGCTGCATTCATACCGCATACTAAATTCTAGAATCTAGATGATATAGTACATAGATGTAATAAAAGGACGGATAGCTTGCAAAATTAGCAAGATACGGTAAGATAGAGTGAACGGTATTGGTAACCCAAACTTAAGATTTATTTCCTTCTCTTTTCCTTTTTATTAATATCTTGACTTTCTGTAGTACATTTTTTTTATGCTTTCTCTGCTCTGCATATCCTAAAAGGAAGTGTGACAGGCCTACACAAATGTACGTTCATAACGTGCTATACCCAAACACACAGGAACCATATTTTATTATTCTAGCTGCTGTCAATAATTGCAATTAAAATGTTCCAGTTTGGGATGTCTTTACTTCTGTTGAAACAGTCTGCAACCTGTGATCAGCATCAGCAGGTCTTCGCATGGGATGTTTCCACGTGCTGTTGCTCATTTCGCTGACGAGCAAAATATTGGCACATAATCCAGAAACAATGATAGTGTGGGCAAAGAATTTTGGTTATTCTATAGATTTAGAAGATTGGCAAAAACTATGGGACCGAAATATTAAATTTACTAAAGCAGCTGCATATAAGGAAAACTTATATAAAATTTTTTATAGATGGCACATGACACCAGTTAGATTAGAGAAGATGTTTAAAAATGTATCAAATATGTGTTGGAAATGTAAACAACAACCAGACACTTATTATCATCTCTGGTGGATATGTCCTAACGTTAAAAAGTTTTGGTTTAAGATCCATATGTGGCTAGAAGAGATGATTAAAATACAGATAGAATTTAAACCAGAACTCTGTTTGTTAGGAATATTAGGTTTGAATTATGGAAAAGAGAATGAGTATTTAATATTGCATGTGCTGACAGCCGCAAGAATATTTGCCCAATTTTGGAAAAATGAAAATTTACCATCTGACCAGGCTATAATAACAAAAATACTCGAATGTGCAGAAATGGATAGATTGACTTTAGAAATGAAAGAGAAAGAAGACACAATTTACTTTAAAACATGGGGAAAATTTTATTATTGGTTAGAAACACGCTAGAATGAGAAAAGGTTATGAAATTTAAAGAGATAATTGATAATTTGTACTTATATTCCATGATTATTTGTATGAACTTGTTCTTATTTCTTCTTCCTCCTCCTCTTTGTATATTTGTGATCTTAAATAATATGGTAAACTATAATTAATATGTAATATATTATTATTATTTTAAAGTGATTATAATTAATATTAAGCATTGTTAAGTAGTGAAATGAATGAGATTTATTGACTAATTTGGTATTTACATGATTATATGGAAAGTTGTTTAATAATAGAGTAATTATTAAGATTTAATATGTAAACCCGGACTGGTAGACTTGCTGAAGCGATGTTATTTTGTGGGAGTAATCCCACTTTTGTGTTACCCCTTTCCCCTGGTCTAACCTTTTTGTATGTTTCCCGTTGTCTTATCCCTTTTGGCCCTATCCCTTTATTACCTTTATAAAACTCAATAAAAATATTTATATATAAAAAATATATTGGCACATAATCCCTGGTGCAAAGTCCACCGCTACACTCTTGGCAGCCTCTCCTCTGCACAGCACATCTTCTCCAAATGAGCAGAAGTTTGTGAATCAGCTGAACCGCTTGGAGAGAAAGAGAGAAGATCCGTTTCCCACTGCCTTCTGTTCCTCAGATGACGCAGTGCCCTGACTCGCCCTGACTCAGCAATCCAATCAGCTCAACATAGCAGGGATCTTCCCCGCCACCAGCATCCCATTCCTTCCACAGACGGAGCCTTGAGGGGTCCTTGACGCTCTCTGAACTTGGTTGTTTTCTTGCAGATGTTTCATTACCCACTGGTGAAGTTACCTAGGTTTGGGTAATGAAACGTCTGCAAGAAAACAGGAAGATTAGAGGATTACAGATGAAAACAGATGATTAGGGGACAGGAGGTTAAAACATATAAGGAACAATTGCTGGAATTGGGTATGTCTAGTTTAATGAAGAGAAGGATGAGGGAGGACATGATAGCAGTGTTCCAATATCTCAGGGGCTGCCCCAAAGAAGAGGGAGTCAAGCTCTTCTCCAAAGACCCTGAAGGCAGGACAAGAAGCAACGGATGGAAACTAATCCAGGAGAGGACCAAGCTAGAACTAAGAAGGAAATTTCCTGACAGAGCAATTAATCGGTGGAATGGCTCGCTTCCAGACGTTGTGGGTGCTCCACCACTGGAGGTTTTTAAGAGATTGAACAACCATTTGTCTGAAATGGCATCATAGGATCTCTTGCTTGAGCAAGGGGCTGGACTAGAAGACCTTCAAGGTCCCTTCCAATTCCGTTATTCTGTTAAAGCAATCCAGCTCAGAAAGCACCACAAAGGACCCTTCATTTCAATCCCTAGGTACAAATATTCTCCTTCATCAGTTCAGAGCGTTGAGCTGGAAGAAACGCTCCTCCATCGAATCAACGAGTCCCATCTTTCTCCTCCTGCTCACCTATGTTGTCCTTGCATTCGCAAGGGTCTAGTTTTCCAAGCCACAAGGGAACAGGCTAAAACAGAACCCCAGGCAGACCAAGTAGCTTTGGAGTTGGGAATCCTTGGTGAACCTTTGGTTGGGGATGGGCTTGCACCGTCCCAGAGAAACCCAGTGTGTAATTTGGAGGGTTCTCCTAGATTTGCATCTCGTATGTGTGCGGCAGTTATGCCCATTCCTGGACTAATGTGCCCTTTGTACAGTCAACCATGCCCTGGTCACCTTCTTTTGACTTATCGTTATATATGCTCTACATGAGGCTGCCCTTGAAGACGATCCAGAAGCTTGAGTTGGTTCAAAATGCAGTGGCTCACACCGTTTTGTGTAAGATTTGTACATGCCACTTCTTTTGCAGGAGCTGTACTGGTTAACAATTTGCCAGGAGTTTGATCCTGACTGGCTCAAGGTTGACTCGGCTTTCCATCCTTCTGAGGTGAACAAAATGGGGACCCAGATTGTTGGGGGGGGGCAAGATGCCGATTCTGTAAACGGCTTACAGAGGGATGTAAAGCACTGTGAAGCAGTATATAAATCTAAGCGCTCTTGCTATTGCTACTGTTTAATCACACAGCCAGCCAAATAGTTAGACTGAATTTGGCATTTTTATCCACTTATTGAGTCCTTCCCAAAGACCTGATTATTATTATTATTATTATTATTATTATTATTATTATTATACGTGTATGCCACCTGATTCAAGGTGCTGGATATCGCCTTTAAAGTTCTACAAGTTCTGCTGGATATCGCCTTTAAAGTTTGGGGCCAGGTGATTTGAAGGCCTGCCCCTCCCCAATTACATCTACCTGGTTCACTACAACAGGAAGGCAGGGTGCATTGTGCGTCCCATCTATTTGGGATTTACATTTGGTCGGGGGCCCCAAAAAGGGCCTTCTCAGTGGCGGTTCAGAAATGTGAAATCTGGTTGTACCTCAGGTTAATCTTTATTATTTTGGTTCGTTACCCGGCAGTTACCCAGATGTTCAGACTGGATTTGGCATTTTTGTCCACCTACCGAGTCCTTCCCAAAGATCTGAGATAGGCAGATGTGGGTGTCTGATGGGTGTTACGAACAGGATGTAAACTGTTCCAGATCTGCCTTTTCTTATTATTCCATTTATTTGCCACTCATCTTACATTTCAAGGCAACGCTGAGCAGCTTAGAGTCCAATCAAATGAAGCTAAAAAAACCCACATTCATCTGACAGCTGGCTGGTCATTTCAAGCCTCAAGGATGCCCGCAGGCAACTCAGCTCAGGGGTTTAAGGCCCATGTTCTGGATCGTAAAGCTCTATGTAACCTTAACTAGAGAGCATGTATCAGTATGTTAGAATATCTGGCATTTATTGGGTTAAGTGCTGTTTCCTTAAGAGAAATGTAGTTTAGCTAGTCAGTCATCCCATGTTGATGGGTCAGTGGGAGGAGTTTCTAAAGGGTATTGGGAGACTTCCTGGACATCATTTGATTTATAACAAAAACATATTTAATCAGATAGATAACTTGCATTTATGCTGTGGTTGTTACTTCTGGAAAATACATCTTTGTCCATTCCTATAGGTGAAAAGAATGATGCTCCCTCCATACCATCTTTATAGCAGCACAGGGTCATCGGGTGACATCTGATGACCCACGCTTCTCTTTAGACAAAGACATTCCAAACTGGCTTGTGTCCAGGAAGTCTCCCAATACCCTTTAGAAACTCCTCCCACTGACCCATCAACATGGGATGACTGAAGAGCTAAACTACATTTCCCATAATCCATCTCTTAAGGAAACAGCACTTAACCCAATAAATGCCAGATATTCTAACATACTGATACATGCTCTCTAGTTAGGGTTACATAGAGCTATACGATCCAGAACAGCCCAGCTCCTTTTTCAAGCTTTACCTTCCCAACCCCTGCTGCCAAAATAAAAGAGCTCACATCCTATTTGCACCCTTAAATAATAAGAAGCCAGACCTTCTCTGAAGAGAGTTTATTTTCCTTCGACAAACGCTTTTTGTAACCAAAAAAAAAAAAAAAGAGAGAGAGAGAACCCTAACCCAACCCCCAGACATTCAGACATCATAGTTGGGATTCTTGCGCAGGATTACAAAGCCTTCCAGAATAGGCGTGACAGGGATGTGCTCTTCGGTGGCCAGCTCTGCCCGCTCGCCGTGTGCCAGCAGCACTGGGGTAGTGTGGGTCTGGAAGCCGGTGATCGTCTTTGGCTTCCCAGCTTGACCCACCACATCCACTGCCTGTAGGATGGGGACAGGGGGTTAGTGGCGGCAAAACATCCAGACAACTATCATCCAGTCCAAAACCAAGGTCCCCGCAATGGGCACAAAATACTGAAGTGGTCCGGGGTCCCCGAATATCCTCGGGACCCTCTCCACTTTGACCATCCCTGCCCGGTTGCGCGTTTTGAGACCGCTTACCTGCCCCACTCTTACGGATACTGGCAGTGGACGCAACTCTTCATCAAAAGTCACAAGCATGCGTGGTTGCATGGCAGCCACAAGGCCGTAGAGCACGTAGTGGGACTTCCCAAGGATGACTAGAAGGGAAAGGAGGACAATGGACAAAGTTTGAGGAGGCTGCACCAAAATGGACCAAATAATAATAATAATAATAATAATAATAATAATAATAATGATGATGATGATGATGATAATGATGATGATAATGATAAAGTTGGAAGGGACCTTGGAGGTCATCTAGTCCAGGGGTCCCCACCCCTGGTCCGTGGACCGGTACCGGGTCACAGCATGCCAGCAACCGGGCTGCACAAACAAGCAAAGCCCCATCTGCGGGATGCAGGCAGCACACAAAACCATGCACACTCTGGTCCACAGAAAAACCTCTCTCCACGGAACCGGTCCCTGGTGCCCAAAAGGTTGGGGGCCTCTGATCTATTCCAGCCCCCTGCTCAGGCAGGAAACCCTATACCATTTCAGTCAAATGGCTGTCCAGTCTCTTCTTAAAAACTTCCAGTGTTTGAGCATTCATCGCTGCTGGAGGCAGGTTGTTCCATTGGTTAATTTTTCTAACTGTCAGGAAGTTTCTCCTTAGTTCTAGGTTGCTTCTCTCCTTGATCAATTTCCATCCGTTGCTTCTTGTCCTGCCTTCAGGTGCTTTGGAGAATAGCTTGACTCCCCCTTCTTTGGGGCAGCCCCTGAGATATTGGAACACTGCTATCATGTCCCCCCTCGTCCTTCTCTTCATTAGACTAGGCCAGCGGTAGTCAACCTTGGCTCTTTTATGATTTGTGGACTTCAACTCCCAGAATTCCTGAGCCAGCCATGCTGAGGGGAAAGGGAGAGGTTTCCAAGCTGAGCCATGCTGGCTCAGGAATTCTGGGAGTTGACGTCCACGAGTCATAAAAGAGCCAAGTTTGCCTACCCCTGGACTAGACATACCCAATTTCAGCAACCATTCCTCATATGTTTTAGCCTCCAGTCCCCTAATCATCTTTGTTGCTGTTCTCTTGTTCATTTGACAGTAGAGTAACATGCTTCTCATAATCGACCTGAACAACAGTCCATACTTTACTTGGGCGCCTTTCGGTTAATTATTTTGCCTTAAGCCCGTCCACCTCACAAAATTGCTGTTGTGGAGGTTAAGTTAGGGATGATCTACTCTGAAAGCTACTCTTGGGCTCCCAGGGGGAAAATGGGATATAAATGCAATAAATATCACTGAACGATGCCTCACATCTCACTTAGATACTATGCCATAAACACAGATGAAGTCGGCTACACACAGTCCCCAGGAAGGGACATACAAGCAAAAGAAGCCATCTCTCAGTTGCTTTGTATTTTGCCAAGAAGCCGTGCTCTCCCCATCTGGCGCAAAGTGACGTGGCAGTAACCAAGTATTTCTTACCTAGCCCAAATGGTAAAATAGGATGTGGCTCAAACGTACAAAAAGAGTCATCTTAATATATGGGACTGCTTAGATCAGGGGTCTCCAAACTTGGCCGCTTGAAGACTTGTGGACTTCAACTCCCAGAATTCCTCAGCCAGTTCTGGGAATTGAAGTCCACAAGTCTTAAAGCAACCAAGTATGAAGACCCCTGGCTTGTTGTTGTTGTTGTTAGTTGCAAAGTCGTGTCCGACCCATCGTGACCCCATGGACAATGTTCCTCCAGGCCTTCCTGTCGTCTACCATCTTCTGGAGTCCATTTAAGCTCATGCCTCCTGCTTCAGTGACTCCATCCAGCCACCTCATTCTCTGTCATCCCCTTCTTCTATTGCCCTCCATCTTTCCCAGCATGAGGCTCTTCTCCAGTGAGTCCTTCCTTCTCATTAGGTGGCCAAAGTACTTGAGTTTCAACTTCAGGATCTGGCCTTCTAAAGAGCAGTCGGGGTTGATCTCCTCTAGGACTGACCGGTTTGATCGCCTTGCAGTCCAGGGGACTCGCAGGGGTCTTCTCCAGCACCGGAGTTCAAAGGCCTCCATTCTTTGGCGCTCAGCCTTTCTTATGGTCCAACTTTCACAGCCATACATTGCAACTGGGAAAACATCTCAAGTAGGATTCTTACTTGGCTATTTTTTTAAAAAAAGAACCAGACAACCAACATAGGATGTGGCTCAGGGGCAGGGATAGGAGGAGACTGAAAGGTGCTACAGGCTGTTCCTCTCATTGCACCTTCCTTAAATCTGATATCCTCCCCAAGTGGCAGGTTCAGTTAAGCAAGGCAACCTTGTACCTTGATAGAACTAGAGGAAAAGGTGTTCCAGAACTGACAGCAAGACGTTCCTAGGCTGGTAGCAGCATTAGCAGATCACGGCAGCTATGATTATAAATGTGGACCCCAAGCCCTTTTACCAAAGCTTGTCTCCCTGCCCATTATGGGAGGAAGATCTTTAACGACGGTGTCTGCTCTTACCAGCTAGTCTCCAGAGCAGGGGTGTCAAACTCAATTTAATTGAGGGCCACATCAGCATTGCCTCGGGGTGGGTGCGGCCTACTGGGTGGGTGCGGCCTACTGGGTGGGTGTGGATGGAGTGGGTGTGGCCTACTGGGTGGGCATGGCCAGCTCTACATCGTTCACGTCAAGGGTGCCTGTGGGGGCCTGGGCAGGAGTGGGACAGATCTGGGGGTCTCTGCCAGAATGGGGTGGGACGGGGGCAAGCGCCAAGGCATGGTCCATTTCTTCATTCCTCACAAAGGGTGACACCTCCCCAGCATGCACCCAGAGGGCAGGGCCGATGCGGCAGGGGCTGGTTCCTCGCTGGTTCCAGACGGCCTTGTGGAGCTAAGACTGAATGCGTTTCAGCATAGATGGCCACCACAAAATTGTACATTGGCTACCGGCCGGTCTGGGCCAGGGCCAAGGCAGTGGGGGCCGTTCCCTCACTGTTTCCAGGATGGCTTTGCAGGCCACATGAAACCACTTTGGGGGCCGCATCCGGCCCCCGGGCCTTATGTTTGACATTTCTGGTGTAGAGAATCCAAGAAGACACTTACTGTTACGCACATCCAGGAAAGAGACCAGCACGGTCAAGAGGCCAGCCACAGCAACCTGGCTCATGAGCTGCCGGTCACTGTGGTAAGGACAGAGAGTCAGTGTTCCTTTGCCAAGGTGGGTCAGACCCTGCACAGCAAAATAAAAAATCAGATGTTGGTAAAACATCCTCCCAAACTTGACTCGGGCAATTAGCTTGTCAACACTAACTCCACGGGCCCTAAACAGACCAAGAATGTAAGAATCAGGGGGAAAATCTTTGCCAGTTGCTCCCCACTCATAATAAGGACTGAGCTTCTCAGTTTCCTTCCATAGTTGTCAGTTATTAAGTACTATACTGTACCAAGTAATGGTCAATAGAGAGAATTTTGAACTGCCTTATCAGTGCTTCATCGAAACAGGAAGGAAGGAAGGAAGGAAGGAAGGAAGGAAGGAAGGAAGGAAGGAAGGAAGGAAGGAAGGAAGGAAGGAAGTAAATGGATGGATGGATGGATGGATGGAAGTAAATGA